GCACATTATACTGTATGTGTGCACATAGTACATGTGAATGCTTTTTAAGTTGAGTGTAGCCAATAATCAGCCCCGAAAGCATCCTTTGAGCTGACGGCACAACTGTGTCTGTCTTTCTATTTTCAGAACATTTTTGACTTGTGTGCTCTCTCAGACATGCACCGCATGCACACACACTAAATAAGCTCTATTGTAAAGCCATTACAATGTGAATGAGGGGCCCACCTATTCCATTGAGATGCATGTGAATGAGTGTGTGTCAGTGCAAGTAGGTTAGAGAGATTGATGAACTAGTAGGAAGGGAAATTCTTGTTAAAACACTGTATGATTGACATGCTGTGCCTGCTTGATTGACATTCTACAGGAGTAGGCATAATGAGGCTGATTCATATGGTGTGAACATGCATGTGAGTATATTTTGAATATTGAATGTCAGAAATGTTTTCTCTTAATGCTGATGATTGACACAATCCTTGATGGTGAGAAGTGCATTTTTACAATATCAGTCTTGTCTAAGTGCTTCACCACCTTGTCGCTCATTATATCCACAACTTCTGCAAGGAGTGAGGGAGAAACAGCAATACGCACCATTAACTTGCACCAGTGTGTGACAATCCCCCATCCGTCTAACACCAACTAACGGGCCGTGAGCTTTTACCGGGCCCGTGATCGCTGATGCCCGACAAAAAGGCTGTTTGTGTCAATCAAACCGAGCCCCCTCCCCTTCTTTTCCTTCTATCGCTCACTCTCTCTCTCGATCGCCTCCACTTGTGTAGGCGCTCGAAACCCGGTGCATTTACGCACGGCAGTCAGTTGTTAACGGACAGCCTGATATCGGTGCTTCTCCGTCTGCTAAGATGGCTAATAGCTACCTTAAAGAGCAGAGATAAAGGGACAAGTAGGAATAGCGGGAGAGAACAGAAGACAGCGGGGGAGACGAGAGTAAGAGAAAGAGAAGAATGATGAGCGGGGGGAGGAGAGCGGATCATTCCGCCTGGCCGCCCCTGCTGCTCTAGAGGAGGGTAGAGAGAGCGGAGATGGCACAACGCTTCAGCATCCAAAACACACGGGAATGGTGCGCCACTGAGACCGGAGCCCCGGACCCACCCGAAGCAGCACTACATTCACCACTCTCCCTTCACGCCTCCTCCCCGCACAGCAGCGCTTTAGCCTCGGCTAGAGGTAAGTGGCAGAGTCGGTGTTCTCTGAACGTTAACTTAGGCGGATGGAAAACTCTGAAGATGAATCTGCAGTTAGTTGTAGTTCATCTGTCTGACTATGAATGTGCGCTGCGGTTGGCTTTCTTTGTCACTGAATTTTCACTGGACATTTAACAACATAAAAAAGAATAGTACAGTAGACTAGACTTCTCATTGAGTTTTCCTCCAGTTTTCTGTATTTATCCACCGCGACACTTCATTGTTAATCTAATGAATGTATAATTGTGTACTTTATGGCCTTGACAAATATTTAACTTAGGAATAACAACTGACAAAACTCTTGATTTTACACATGCTTTCCAATTTAAATTTGAATTTTGAAATGTTTCAGAAACTTTTTATTTAGCATTTAACAAAATGCATGAATATAACGTGCAGGCAAATCATATTCAGTTTTCCCATACTGAATGATTTATAATACAACTGGGGGTTATAGTTTTTAAGATATCAGACGAAAACTGCCACGTGATGCCTCTTGTGTTCATCTAATTCTAGCGCCCTCCTGTGGCTCCTAGTAGTATGACACACGCATACCGATAGTGATAAGTTTAACCACACTCGTCTGCAGTTGAAACATCAGATTTTCCTACTGTTGATCTCCAAAACACTAGTTGCACTATCTTCTCTTGACTTCTCTTACACTGACTAATCATGCTTCCATTTCTTGGTAAAAGAAAAATTTCTACAACACACTGTGTAATAAATCTCTTAACACCACAGAAGGTATTACTGTTGGTAGCCTGTATTCTCAGTCAAGTACCAATTAGGAGAAATCACAATTTGTTAAAGCAAATAATAAAAATGTCTCCTCTGTGCTGAAGTAAAGAAAACTGTTGAGTCCTTTTCCTCCTCTTTTTCATTTTCTGGATTCATTTTTAAAGAATGGTACTGGAGTCCCTTCTTCTATGACCACATAGGTTCTCTAAAGGCAAGGAACAAGGAGAGAAGGATGGGGAGCATGAGGAAAGACTATTGATATTCAAACAGACAGAAGCAGCGAGGGGGGGGGGGTAGAAAGATAGAGAGTGAGGCGTAAAGAAAGAAGAGAGAAAGAGATGCTGTGGGATCTTTTCTTCTCCTTGGCTCCCGGCACATACATTAAGATGCTAATCCTGGTCTTTTTTGTCTCTTTCTATAATTCATTGCATTTTGTTCCTCTCTCTGCTTTTTCTCTTCGTCTCTTTTATTCTGGCACTTTTCTCTTGCTCTCCATTTCCTCTGCGCTGTCATGGACTCCCTCCAGATTAGCACTCCTGGCAAAAGGATTCCAACTCTAATTTTGTGGTATTTCAGATGATTAGGTTCAGAAATAGGACAGAAGTGCACGGAGTTTGGTGCAATTAGAGGAATTCTCTGTAGAGCTTTATGGGACTGATTAGTTGAGCTCCCCACACTGCCATATTAACACACAACCAGCTGTTGTTTATTTGTGAGGCTTAACTTTTGTGTTGTGTTTTTTGCTTTTAACTGTGATGTCACTTTGTGTGTGTGTGTGTGCATGCCAAAGGTTGGATAAGCCCTAAGGATGCAAGTTGTTTTCAATCAGCTCTGTAGTTACCAGCTGTGCACTCACATTCCCCAGGGTGGCACAACCTAGGTACGCACAGACAGTCGTGAGCACACAGGCAGAGAACTAATGCATGCTATTCAACCTTGCCCAACAGATTCACTCTTTCTTCTGTTCTTCTTGTCCCCTTTTTCTTCAGGCATTAATCATCACCTGCTCTGTTTTTGCATATGATTCCTCCGTGAGGACTGGAAGGAGAGTGCCTCAACTGCGTTTCCTCAATGAAGACCTTTGTTCCACCACATCCTGCACTGCTCTCTTCTCCACCTGCCATGGTGACATGACGCATCCCTGAGTGGCTCTTCTCCTTTCTCACATACACAGACAATCCCTTGGGCTCCTCGAACCCCCAAACTAGTGTAGACGCCGTCTAGCCTCCTGCAGACTAAAAAAGACATCTCCTCCCACTCACAATACCTTCTCGATTTGCAATGACCGTGGCCGTGCGATTCCGTCGCCACCTACGTAGGCTCCTGCTTCTGCTGGCCTCCTGCTGCCTCCTCTCCCTCCTTCTCTCTGCGTACTTTCTCTTTACGAACTCCTCACCTTCCATGCAGCTCGGACAATCCTCTGAACCTGCCTGCTCCCAGCCACTTTCCATGTCTCCATACCGTCAGCTCCCGCACCCATATCCACCTAACCCCCCTCATACACATATCCACACTGACCCGGTAGTGCTGGTGCTGGTGGAGTCCCAGTACTCCCAGCTGGGTCAGGATATTGTGGCTATACTGGAGTCAGCACACTTCCAGTTCCGCATGGAGATTGCCTCAGGGAAGGGGGATCTTCCACCACTGACAGAAAAGGGCCGTGGACGATATTCACTAGTAATTTATGAGAATTTGTTAAAGTATGCACATGCAGACACATGGAACAGACAGCTGTTGCATCAGTACTGTACTGAATACAGAGTGGGCATCATCGGCTTCTACCGCTCCACAGAGAACTCCCCACCTCTTCTCAAACTGCGAGGCCTCCCGCTGGTGCTTAGGACCAACCAGGCACTTTGGGACTGTTGTGTGGTGTCTAGCTCACCTCTCTTGCATCTGACCAAACCTGGCACAGATAGAGGGCCCTTACCTGGGGAAGACTGGACATCCTTCTCCTCCAATCACTCCACCTACCAGGCTGTGCTGCATGCACGGGCCAAGGACGGAGTGGGGGCAGGTAGCGGAGATAATCCGGGGCCTGGTTTCAGTTTAGGCCACCAAGCCACCGTGGTACAGGATATGGGTCTATATGATGGGGTGAGGAGGGTGCTATTTGGCCAAGGACTGGGCTACTGGCTCCACAAACTCATCCTGGTGGATGCCATCTCCTACCTCACAGACAGGAAGCTTACTCTGGGCCTGGACCGACACATACTGGTGGATATAGATGACATTTTCGTGGGAAAGGAAGGGACACGCATGAATGCCAAGGATGTGAAGGTATGTGGGTGATGGGTGTGTGATAATGTGCACTAGAGATAGACAGAGTGGGTAGAGAGGATGAATTCATATCTGGTCAGTGGTATTGGATCAGATTTTGTATTGCTATCAACTTACAAAAACCGTAATTGATGGCAGAGCAGAGGTGAAGATGGGGAATGTTTACTTATTGCACTGTAAGTCTGCAGATACCTCAGCAAAAGATTATAACAGGAGTGTATTTCAGAGGATTTTAGCTTTAGCATGGGCGCACTGAGAAGGTATTTGGTAAAACTTGCGTTTGTGTCGGTGTAATGTCTCTGTATGCTGTGTACCAAGTGCATATGTGTTGTGTACAGCAAGAGGGTATTTATCTCAAATGGAGGTTTAGCCAGAAGTAAAGAGGCCATTTAAGTGAACAAAGACCTGGAGTGAAAGAGCAAAAGAGGAGGAGTGAGCGAGAGAAAGAGCGGTAGTGAATGAGCCGGTGAAAAGATGAATGGCACTTATTCCTCTTTTCCCACGTTCCTCCTCTTAGGAAAACTAAAGGAAAGTCAGCCATGCAGCCTGCCTCTCAATACGGCTATTGTTTCAGCACACACGCTTGCATGAGCAAACCCACACACTCACATACAGACAGACATGCACCTCCACACATGTGTGCATACAGAAATACAGTATTTGTGCACACTCACATGCATATAAAGCCTGTTTTTTGGGGGACTGTAATATTTTTAAGAGAAGAAAACATCTCAGGTTTCCTGAAGTGTAAATAAAAATGCTGCACAATGAATTTAGTTTGAAATCTGTGGTCACAACAGTCTCCCACTGCGTCCTCACTCAGGGCCATTCAAGGGAAACAAATTGTTTGGTGGGCTTTCATGTATGACTGAGTGTGTGTGCAGACAGGTGAGATTTATGTGCATTAGACCACAGGCAGCTGCCATGTCTCCTTGCAGCCACAGGACATACATAATTGGAAAGAGGTATATACATACCCACACACATACAGTACGCAATGTTATCCTGACTATATATATTTATTTTTCAGTCCCTTATCAGAATACAACCTAGAAAATATAGGAAACATGTACACATTATTAAAAAGCACAACAAAGTCAAACTGGATACTCAGGATGTGGTATTCAAGCTCTTCTTAAGAAATATGAAGACTCCAGAGGGGTCAAGGACAAAAACAGGAGTGGAAGACCAGGAAAAGTGTCAAAATTTGATGAGAAGTTTCTCAGAGTTTCTTATTTTGAGAGACCAGAGGAAATCCAGTAAGGACCTGGCTCAGCATCTGGATGCCAAGTTGGTCCTTCCACAGTCTGAAGAAGCCCGATCAGGAACGGCCTTTGTGGAAGGACAGCAGCCAAGAAATCACTTTTTCAGAAGGGGGACAGGGAGAAAAGGCCGAGATATGCAAAAGCTGGCAAAGACTGGAGTGAAGATCAATAGAAAAGAGTATTATGGAATGACAAAAGGTTTGAAAAGTTCAGGTCCAATCGTCAACACTTTGTGAGAAGAAGAGTTAGAGAGAGGTGGAAGATTGAGTACTTGCAGCCTTCGGTGAAACATGGTGGAGGGTCTGTCATTGTTTCAAGCCAGTTTTGTCAAAAGAATTGAAGCCGTGTTAAAGGAAGGTCACATTAAGTACCGACTTTGCACTGCAGAACTCATTTTGTTCTGAACATTTTTTGTTTGTTTGGTTTTTTGTGTACATATTTCCTGTATTTTCTGGTTATATCTTAATAAAAAGAGTGAGATCTAAACATCAGTTACCATTACAACTTAGCAAAAAACAGCTAAACTACAGAACTGACGGTGGCCTAAGACTTTTGCACATCACTATAATATATATGTGTGGGTGTTTCTGAATCACTGCTTTAGATTAGAATGCCATTTTCTGTCAGTGGATGACACCTGTGCCATCAGGCGCTGAAAAAAGGAAGAAGAGAAACCACAGCCGTCTGTCCGTGGCTGGAACCTGTGGGAGAGATTAGAGGAGTGGGGAGGGTGAGAAAACAGGAGTTCAGTGGGTGGTGAAGTGCAGAGGAATTCCACCCTTGAATATAAAAAAGATGCCAGTATTCAAATAGGATATGAGTGCATATTCAAACACAGTCACACACACTGTGTGCACACATTCGTGCACATGCACATTCACAAAACGAGCACACAAGCGGTCTCTAGTTGGAGTTTTCATTTTAAGTCTGCCTGTCTCTTCAGCTTTGTAGTATAAATATACATGAGGATGAACCAGTGCCATAACAGAAGGACATGGGGATGGGGATGGAGGAAGAGGTGGAGATAGGAGTAGCGAGAGGGCAGAAGAAAAGAGAGTAATGCCATTTGAAATACCCACGCTGCTTCATTTCTACTCTTCCATCCCCTTCAGGATACTTGCAGTCACAGAGAGGAAAGGAGGAGGGATAGAGGAAGGGAGGAGAAGGTGGAGTATGGTGCTGAGGGGAAAAGCTAGCAGCTAACTTTGTAATTTCAGAGAAACAAAATGCTGAAGGGAAATAGGAAGGCAGAGGAGGTGCAGCAGCACGAATTTTTAGCAGCACTCCCCTCAGCAACAAAGAACCTCAGGTAGAGTTGTCAGATTACAGTTTAAACAAAACTTACTTTAAGTGACAAATTACCATGTTTATTCCTAGTCAACTGATTTTACTGTTACTTTTATCTTCATTGTCAGTGATTGTTTGATTGGTACAGTCCCAAGAAAAAGTAATGACACCTTCAAGAAGACTGATTGGTGAATTCAAGGTGTCTGCACAGAGTAAAGTTGTTCAAACAACTGCACCTTCTGATGTCCATGGACTGAAACAAGCAAACTGTGATAGGTTAAACCAGATTCTGAACGGACTGGCAGATGAGGACATTACAGACCAGGTGTGCTCCAGAAATCAACATCTGGCCATGCTGAGTATTTGGTGGGTCCATCAAGACGTCTCTGAATATTTTATTCTAAATATTCTTGCACTGCAATATGATTTTCTTATAAGCAAATAGCAGTTACAAGACACCACAGCATGAACATATTGCAATGAATAATTATGAAAAGCATGCGCCTGTGTGAAAGTATTAAGTTCTCTCTCATCCCTGCTGTTTCAAAAGCAGCTTATGTGTAACACTGCATCAACATACATAACAGGATGTGCTATTGATCCGTTAGTAAATCAAGATATTTGCGGTGCCAGTGTTAGAAAGCCCCTCTTACCTCTGTGAAGCCAACATTCAATCTCCTGTTCTCCCCAAGAGAAGAAAAGACAGGAGTGAGACAGAAAGAGAGGCCAATTGAAATGCCACCCTCCTTCTCTCTGCACTCTTCATTAGTCTCACCCCACGAGTTCATCTGGTGACAAACAATACCTACACCCCCTCCTGTCTGAGCACACACTCACACACACACACACAGCTGTATTTCCTTTATTAAAATGATTCACAGGGAGGCACCCCACAGATGACATTTCTCAAAATGAGGGATGATGCCAGTCAAAAACTCCCATCAATGATACGTGTGTGCCGGTGCTTGTTTTTTAATTCCTGGATGTCGGGTTTTTCCTCTCCTCTGCCGTGGAGTGTCTGATTGCCATGTTCAGATCCCTCTTCATTGCCGTCTCCCCCTCGCCTCCTCCACTCACCTTCCTTTTCACACCCTCCTCAACCTGAGTCACCGATCACCATCTCATGTCTATTTGCATTCCTCACTAAACCTCAGCGTATTCTCATTCTTTTCCTCCCTAAGGTGCTTTCTTAAGCAGTGTCAACTAAAGTAAGAGGATATACAGGCATGTGAGCACACAAACTGTACATGGACCAACAAGAAGCACACTCAATTTGAATTTGAAGAGACTAGATATTTAGCATTTTGATGTTTCTTAAGGCAATCTCATATCAACACAGAATATTTCTGTGTTGTATGTAAATTCTCCCCTTGTTTGTATAAGTTAACTATAAGTTAGATTGTCCAGTGATGGACAGTCATCGTGTCATCATTTTGCAGTATATCTCCTGTAAGGAATAATTGGCTAAATAAGATTACAACTTGTGTTTATAAAGACAGACTGAGGCAGCATGCGATTTGCCCCTCACTGCACCCTCACAAAAAAACCATAGAAATATTATTGTTGTTAGCAAAATGGAGAGAGGGTTGAGAGTGGCTTCCTGTCGGTGCAGACGGGTCAGCTCAGTGTACATCTTACTCTAACATTAGAGATTGAAGTTTGTCAAAAAAGGCTCCATATCAACACTGCACTTCATTAATGACATAAAAGCAAAGTTGGCAAAAAATAAAATAAAATGACAAAATAGTCAAAAGTGAAATTGTTTTATTAAAGTTCAAATGTATTCTATAATATAAATGTTTATTTAACAGCTGCACAATACCATATATAGGTCCATTGGTTCATTTATTTTTATGACTGAAGACGTTTCAAACCCCCCACCCCCCATTTTTTCACAAATCACACCCTGGAGTGAGGCAACTTTTCCAATTTTTTGTAAAATTTGGCAAGTCGAATAATTACTACTCTCATGTTGCCTAATAAGTGCTATTTTTAGGACTGATTAGGAAGCCTGTTTTTACATTTTTGCCATCATTTTTATTTTGAATATTAATGAATTATACTGACTACAGAGGAATATGTGGCTGACAAGAACCGATAATAAGGTAGTGGTGTTTGAAATGAGGAGTACAAATATCTAGGCCATGTCCCCATAATCAGTTTGGTCTGGCAATGGCCTAATATTGAAAATACCACAAAACAAACAAAAAAACAGAATTCCATAAAATGGGCACGACTTCAGAGAAGGTTTTGGCTTAGCATAATTTATTGTGCCTACTTGGAGTTAATCTTTAGACCTAATTCAGTATGATGCATATTTGCCACTTAAGTTAGTGGAACTGAACTCATTCCATAGCCGTGTATTACTTTGCCAAATGCTGTTACATAAGTCATGAAGAAAAGACAAGCAGTGGAGAAAGAGACGAGGAAATGGGAGAAAAAGAGACTGGTTTTGGTCTCTTGTTACAAGAGGCACACAAATTTCTTTTTCCTGTAAAATTTATCAGATGATATTCATTTAATACATGTCAAAGGCAGGCAGCTTTAAAAAGGAATCTTAGGTGTTAATGTTTTGTCAGATGACAAAGTTGTAGGTGGGAATAGGGAAAAAAAAAACGAGATGGCATATAGGACAGCAGAGGAGAACAGGATATTGCTTTCTGCATGATGCTTCCTGACATCTGCTCTCATTCGCCCCCTTATTTGGACAAGTGAAATGATCACAGTCAGCCCTGCAGGGAAGGAGAAGTTTTACAGTCATGCTATTAGGAAAAAACAGCTGTTTATGTATCGGGGGTTTTCATTTTTTGTTTTAACATACCGTACAAAACAAAAATAGACAAAAGAAAGCATTTGTCAACAGTAAAATCATCTTAATAACTTTAGTTCTAAATTAACAGTTTTTGTCAGCGCTTTTGTTTTACTGCGGTTAACTCTGAGAATATGGCTGTGTGCCATGCATTTTCTTTCACAAAATGAGACCGGTTTGTGCGGTCACAGTAAATCACTGACACTTAGAAACCCTTTGGGGCTGCCAAGTAGAATTTAGTGTAAGTATAGCGATGCCAAAACAATCACAAGTACCTTGGAAACATAACTGCAAGTGAATAGATGATTTTGTAAAACACTCCAGTATAAAAAGCTTACATTGACTTGAATCTGGCAGGCGAGACGAAGTAAGACAGAGAAGGAAAGAGTAAACAGAAGGGAGACGGGCATTAACTGGTAAAGTGCTCTTCCTGCTCATCAAATAGTGATGCCTGACCCAGTTAAATTTGCTGGTCTGGTGTTCACATTACAGGCACAGATACACACAGACACGTGCGCTCGCGCATATGAATCAAGAACTTTGACCTGCTTATGCACAAGATTGAAACTCCAATCGCCTTCATATCTGTTTGCACTTAAAAATAAGTTCTTTAATAATTACCTTTGTTATTTTAGATCACGCTGCCAGGCATAAGGCTGTGAAAAGAAAAGAACCGGTGCAAAGGCAAGAGTGACAGAATGGGGATATAGAGGAGAGGCATTTGGTGTAGAGGGTTTGTGAAAGGCAGTGAATGCCAGCTGTCCAGATGCCTGTCTCCCATCTGTTTGAACCCCAACATCTAGCTGGCGCCTTTTTCAGCGCTCACCCGACACATACGAATGAAGCCTACACACAGACACTCCCACTGTCATTTTCACATACATAGAGACGAACTGGCATTGCTTCTGACACCAGCAGTGTGGGATTGGGCAGGGAAACCAGGGCTATCGCTAACAACTAATCCCAGTGTGTGTTTACCTTCATCACTGGGATTATCAAGAGCTCTCACATGCTACATAGCCCCGCCTTCTGCTAACCCAAATACCCCCTTCTTTCTTATAAGCTATCTCATATGGCCCATTTTAAAACCATGTTCAGCTTTGAGCTCAGTATCCAGTGGACAGATTGGCTCCATGTTGCTTAAAGCTCCTCAGTCTCCTGGATCTGCTGCCCT